ACGGCGATTCGAGTTTGTTTCCCCCCGTTTAGCCGTTTGGCTATTAAAAAAATGGCCTTTCTGTTCAAAAAGAGGAAGACCACATTATTTGGAAAGGCCGCGTGGCTGATGCATGAATGTACATCTGAAAACGCTTTCTAGATCTTTTGACTGTTTGAAATTGTTGGCAAAGCGTTCATTCGTTCCTTCGATTCGTCAGGCCGCACTTGGAATATTGCATCCAGCTTTGGTTGCCACGATATTAAAAAAAAAAAGATGTTGAGATGCTAGAAAAAGTGCAGAGAAGAGCAATAAAGAGGATTAGGGGACTGGAGGCTAAAACATACGAAGAACGGTTGCAGGAACTGGGGATGTCTAATGAAAAGAAGGACCAGGGGAGACATGATAGCAATCTTCCAATATTTGAGGGGCTGCCCCAAAGAAGAAGGGGTCAAGCTATTCTCCAAAGCACCCGAAGGCAGAACAAGAAGCAATGGATGGAAACTCATCAAGGAGAAAAGAAACCTGGAATTAAGGAGAAATTTCCTGACAGTGAGAACAATTAATCCGTGGAACAGCTTGCCACCAGAAGTTGTAAATGCTCCAACACTGGAAGTTTTTAAGAAGAGGTTGGATAACCATTTGTCTGAAATACGAGACGGGGAAAAAAAAAAAAGAATTTTTCGAGCAAAGCAAACTGTTTTGTTTGTAGGGCAAGAATTCTCACACCTGCATAAGAATGGGATTGCACCTGCTGCTTTCCTGGAATTGAACCTGGATAGCAAATTAGACATCCCTCTAATAATTAGATGACCTTACCTAAGGGCCTTTTTCTGTGCTGGTTGTCCATAATGCCAGCCCGTCTTTACGATGGGACCTTGCCTGTCGGTAGCTCAACCCCATCAAAAATTGCTATTAAATAGTGGCTTCGGGCAGTTTTAAATGCATTAGGGGCCCCGCACTTGGATGGAAAGGTTGATTTGGCAGTTTGGAGGGGGCATTTGCTGCACAAATGGGAAGCAAACCTCGAATTCGGGAGAAATTTCCTGACAGTTACAACAATTAATCAGTGGAACAGCTTGACTCCAGAAGTTGTAAATGCCCCAACACTGGAAGTTTTTAAGAAGAGATTGAACCTTTCCTAGTCTGTGGCCTTTCTCCACCAGCTTCCCGTTAATGCAAAAATCACCAGTTGCCTTATCGCGCACATACTTAGAATGAGTTTCAGGGGCTGATGATTATAGATGTTGCAATGTTCCGAAGCTAGCAAGCTTGAAGTCCGCAACCTGACGGAGGCAATAAATAAAATGAGATCGAGGACTTCAAAACACCCGCTTGCCTTCAAAACAACTATAGATGTAGAATAAGAGTTGGGTGGGACCTTGGAGGTCTTCTAGTCCAACCCCTTGCTCAGGCAGGAAACCCTACATCAGTTCAGGCAAATGGTTGTCCATTTTCCTAAGGATAGTGACGAGTGGAGTGGAGTGGACTAGAGTAAGTTGGAAGGGACCTTGGAGGTCTTCTAGTCCACCCCCCCCCCGATTAGGCAGCAACTAATTGTAATTAGAACCTGCTTGGTCCTAATTCTCATTTTAGGAAGACAATTCAAAAGAAACTTCTGGCTGACTTGTCCCAAAGGTGCTCTTTCCAAAAGACAGCTGGACTTCGTTTTTCCTTGAAGACGTTTTGCTTCTCATCCAAGAAGCTTCTCCAGTTCTGTGCCAGTCCGTCAGAACCGGTGAAGCTTCTTGGATGAGAAGCAAAACGTCTTCCAAGGAAAAACAAAGCTGCCTTTGAAAAAGCACCTTTGAGACAACTGTGACCTGGGTGACTGAGAATCTTTCTAGACTCTCTTTTAACTATTTCGAATTACGTCGAGGCAGGAAGAAACTCCCCACAACTCTGCCCTATGGTTGTTCCATGGGGGGGGGGAGCTTCTTGAAACAACTGCCGGGATATAGAGGCTGGACTTAAGATCATCCCAGGCATCATCTTAATTGGATTTGCACCACTGGCTAACTCGAGCCGGGAGATTAGGAAGCCTTAGCAACGATCCGGCAATCCAGAACTTCAGAGATGCTCCTGGGTGTAGACGGGATAAGGGCTGCAGGTTCAGACTGAGGTAGCTCCTGTAAAAAATATTTTAAATTATTGATCGCTTAGGGTGATTCAGCGGTGGTATTCGGGCGAACCGGTAGTTAAATTGCCGGCTCAAAACGGGGCGCGGGAATGCACGTCTTACTTTCCCCCCCCCCTCCCTGTGGCCCATTTTTGCTCCCGGGAGCTGCAGGAGGCCATGTTCTGCTTGTCGCACGCCCCTGGCCACATCCACCATGGCCACGCCCACCCAGCCGGTCATTATTTGAATCCCGCCACTGTTTACATTCTGATTCAAGAGCTTCAAAATGCTGCTTTTCTCCCCCCCCCATTTTTCCCCCACCTCCCAACCACAATTTGGGGGGGGGTGTCTGAGACAGAGAGATTGCCACAAAGTGTGACTTTATGGGCTTAGGTGGCTAAAGGAGGACTTGGCCATGGGTTCCCCCCCCCCAAAAAAATTCCATTGACGTAGCTGATAAATGGAGAACCCTAGATGGCGGTTGGCTCCGAACTCTTAAGCAGAACCTTGGGCCGGAAGGAATAAATTGTAATTTTGCAAATATTATCTTTTTTTTTTTGCCACAGCTGGACATTTGCCAGCGTCAGATCAGCTTGGGAGATGGGTCTTTTGTGGCTAACTCTGCTAGGATCCTGGGGAGCGAAAGGGAAGAAAATTGGGTGGGTGAAATTAAAACAGCAGTTACAGCTCTGTAAGCTGTGAAAAGGATCCTTGGGAGTTTTGAGGGTCTGGGAACAGGAAAAGATGGGATTGTTGCCATCCAAAGTCCTGCAGCATTTCACACGCTTTTGTGCAAGATTTTTTTTTTTTTTTTAAAGTAGTTTGAGAGGTTGTGCTGGAGCTGGGGAAAACCAACTCGGATTTCTTCCACAGGCTGCTATTTCTGAAAGACAGTGGCTATGCTTTCTGGGGGGGCGGGGGTGTAATAAAAGAATAAACCTCAAAAGGGGGCAAACCTAAAAGTAGTTTTTTTTTTAATTTGATTTATATGCCACCCTTCTCCGGAGACTCAGGGCGGCTTACAATGCGTTAAGCAATAGCCTTCATACTTTTGTATATTTATACAAAGTCAGCTTATTGCCCCCACAAACTGGGTCCTCATTTAACCTACCTTAGAAAGGATGGAAGGCTGAGTCGACCTTGAGCCTGGCGAGATTCGAACCTGCAGAAATTGCAGGCAGCTGTGTTAATAACAGGGTGCATTAAACCACTGTACTACCAAGGCTCTTCCAGTTCATCAGGATAAAAGAATTGAATGATGTTTATAGATTATAAAAGTTTTTCTTAGATTCGCTCTTGAATAAGAACAGGAACAGAATAGAATAGAAACAGAACAGAACAGAACAGAACAGAACAAAATTCTTTATTGGTCAAGTGTGATTGGACATATAAGGAGACCTTATGCAGCAGAGACAAATTCCTTGTGTGTCCAGTCACACTTGGCCAATAAAGAATTCTGTTCTGTTCTTATTCTATTCTACATTCTATTCTATTCTATTCTATTCTACATTCTGTATTCTATTCTGTTCTATTCTATATTCTATTCTATTCTGTTCTGTTCTTATTCTATTCCGTTCTGTGCTATTTTGTTCTGTTCTGTCCTATATTCTATTCTGTTCTGCCTTCTGTTCTGTTTTATTCTATTCTATTTCTCGAAGGAAAATTCAAGAGCGAACCCAAGAAAAACATACAGAAATATCTAAAATCAATAACAGGCGAAGTAGTATTTCTTTTATTTTGTTTTCTGTATTTCTTTTAGGATCTGTGCGGAAACCTCTGATCAAGATTTTTCATTTTTTGTAAAAAAAAAAAAAAAGTTGTTGCCAATTTTAATCATGAATTCTGCTTCAGATGAATCGACGTAATTATTTTATTTTGCTTCGTTTAATCAATTCCCATCCCAGCGTTATTGTTGAGTAGAGGAACCAGCCAGCAGTGAAATGCACAATTATTTTCTCCTTTGCAGTCTTTTGAAAAATAATAATACGGGAATAATGGAGAAGAGTGCATAGTTTACAAATGTTGTATAATTCAGCATTACAGGTAGTACTCGACTTAACAGTCCATTTAGTGACTGTTCAAAGTTACAACAAGATTGAAAAAAGTGACTTATGACCATTTTTCATACTTACGACCGTTGCAACATCCCCGCGGTCACGTGATCAAAATTCAGGCGCTTGGCAACTGACTCGTATTTATGACGGTTGCAGAATCCCTGGGTCACTTGATCCCCTTTTGCGACCTTCTGACAAGCCTGATTTGCTTAACAACCATGTCACTAACTTAACAACTGCAGTGATTCCCTTAACAGCTGTGGCCAGAAAAGTCGTAAAATGGGGCAAAACTCACTTAACAAATGTCTCAATTAGCGGCATAAATTTTGGGCTCAGTTGTGGACATAAGTTGAGAATTGCTTGTTCTTAGCCCAAGATTTTGAGATGATGTGTGTATCAGGGTTCCAACGGATGCCCTAATTAAATCATGAGCCTCGAGCCAAGCTTCGAAATAAATTCAGTTATTTATTAGGAGCTTCATGTCGGCACATTCCAAGTGAAGCCAACTCTGACCCCATGTAATTTGCGACCCAGACTTGACCCTGTTTCCCCCCTCCCCCCAGGGTGTGTCATCAGTCACATTTGCCAACAGAGAAATTTTGTAGGTTGTACAGATCACTCCCCTCCAGCTGCTGTGGATAACCCTGGGAGACAGCCTTGAGAGAGATATGTCTGGAATGTGCTTTTGTTTTTGGCTGCCATGCTGCTTCACCATTTTCCCATGGCAACTTGAGAGCAGGCCAGGGATGCTTTGCAAGTTGACATTGTGTGCATGTCGATATAAATATTTGGTTCATTGATGAGCAAAAGATTATCCGAGTCACACTTTCTGTTTGTTTATTTTGCAGGTTTTTAAGCTTTTAAGGAGTGTCAAAGCTGTACACCTTTAGTGCGGGAAGATGAGTGAACTCGATCAGTTACGCCAGGAGGCTGAACAACTAAAGAACCAAATCAGAGTAAGTATTAATTTACTTGCTCTCCTCCTTCAGTGAAATAGTCCTGAGATCTTTGATTTATAGAATTTTCAAAGATTTGGGCTTTGGGGGGGGGGATATCTAAAATTGGCTTTCGACAGATGTTTTCATTAAAATGAAAAAAAAATCATTAAAATTAAAGAATTGTATGGAATGAAAGGTAGCGTTGGGCTGAGATAACAACCACATTAAAATGGCCTTGAAATTGGTTTGTGGTTTTTTTCCATTTCTTTTTCTTACTCTTAAGTCCATTTTTCAGCATCTCTTACACCCCATGACATATTTAAGTCACCAAGTACAATTTGGCAGTGACCGTAGGGTAGCGCAAAATGACCACCCCAAGAATATGAAACTTATAGTAAGGAAAATGTATATTTGATTATTCATGTAATAACTGCAGCTAGAATTGTATTTGCACAAAATTGGAAAAGTGCAGAGATCCCTACAGATGAAAATGTATTAAGAAAATATTAGAGTGTGCAGAAAGGAATAGATTAACACTTGCAATTAAAGGAAAGGAAGAATCTGACTATTACAGTATATGGGAGTTATTTTATCAACGGTTAGAGAATAAATATGAAAATTAGAAATAAAAGCGGAGGAGCGAAATATCGAAAATGTATTACTAAGTCAAATAACCTAAGAAGAGAAATGTTACAACAGTAGATACGTTATGTATTAGTATTAATCCAAGAATAGATATAAATAATGAACGTGGCTGTAAATTTTAATGGTTATTGCACAAAAAATTTGTACCCAGACGACACACTGAATGAATCATCTTTCATCTTTAATGAAAGATGAAATGTTTGTATTAAAAGGAAATTAAAAAATGTAAAAAAAAGAAAAAAAAGAAAATGAAATGGTATAGGGCAGTGATGGCTAACCTTTTTGCCATCGCGTGCCAAAAGTGAGGGGTCGTGGGTGTGCCAACACTCATAATTCTATGTGCCGCCCGCCCCCCCGTGCTCTCCCTGCTTTTGGCACGCGATGACACGGTGGGCCCAGTAGGCCCATTTTTCACTTTCCCCCGGCTCCATAGCCTTTCTAGGAGTCTGGGGAGGGCACAAACAGCCTTCCCTAGCTCCCCCGAGGCCCTCTGGAGGCTGGATATGGCCTGTTTCCGAACTTCCGGTGGGCCCAAAAGACCCGAAAATCAGCTGGCTGGCACCCACATGTGCGCTGGAGCTGAGCTCATGTGCCAACCAATATGGTTCTGCATGCCACACATTCGCCATCACGGGTATAGGGTTTCCTGCCTCTACCATTTCAGGGGGTTGGACTAGAGGACCTCCGGGGTCCCTTCCAACTCTGTTATTCTATTCTGTTCTATATGCAGATCAAAATCCAGCAGAAGCTTTTGGTGAAATTCTGGAGCTCAGATCTCCTCTTTCTCGAGCAGTGTTTCCCCACCTTAGGCATTTTAAGAGGTGTGGACTTCAACCCCCATGCTGGCTGGGGTATTCTGGGAGTTGAAGTCCACACGTCTTAAAATGCCTAAGGCCGTGATGGTGAACCTATGGCACGTGTGCCACAGGTGGCACGCGGAGCCATATTGGTGGGCACGCGAGCGTTGCCCTACCTTAGCTCCAGCGCGCATGTGCGTGCCGGCCAACTGATTTTTGACCTTTCAGGGCCCACCAGAAGTTGGGAAACGGGCCATTTCCTGCCTCCAGAGGGCCTCGGGGGGTGGGGGGAGGCTGTTTTTGCCCTCCCCAGGCTCCAAGAAAGCTTCTGGAGCCTGGGAAGGGTGAAAAACAGGCCTAATCTTCCAGCCAGCCGAACAGCATAATCGTTTTTTAAATCTATCCCCGCCAGATTGAAATCTTATGATGGAATTCCCTCCTAATCACGAGTCACCAGATCAAATTTGGAGTGGCTGTTTTAACATTTAGACCAACGCGGGCACTGTGCAGAATTGATGCCGCTTGCAATGCCCAACGGAAACGGGGTTTCATAAAGAGATTATCCGGCTTAGCGTGTCTGAAACCTTTTTGCACCCGTCCTTCCCCCTTCATCCTCATCACCCCCTTTTTCTTTCTTTCTTTCTTTCTTTTTTTTTTTTTGCCATTTGATCGAGGGAGATGCTGGCTCTAATAGGCTTTCTAAATTCTTAGCAGATTATAAGCTTCCGATAAATAGAGAAGGGCTTCCCTCCTCCCAAGGTATTTATGTCTGCACTTTCCCTATCGGGACACAGCCCTGGGACGGCAAACGGTCGTTTTAAAACAGAAGCAGGGGGAAAAACATGCGGTGGTTTTTTTTTTTCTTGTTTGTTTGACTGTTTTTCCTCTGCGAGCATTCACACATTCTTTTTTTCTTTTCTTGCAGGATGCTAGGAAAGCCTGTGCTGACGCTACCTTGGCCCAGGTAATTGCGGGGTGTGTGTGTGTGTGTGTGTGTGTGAGAGAGAGAGAGAGAGAGAGAGAAATTGAAGTGTTTTGGGTCCCTTAAATATGGCATACAGGTGCTCATTGAGTTACAACTACAATTGAGCCCAACATTTCTGAGGTGGTGTAGGGTTTCCTGCCTAAGCAGGGGGTTGGATTAGAAGACCTCCATAGGTCCCTTCCAACTTCCTATCCTATCCTATCCTATCCTATCCTATCCTATCCTATCCTATCCTATCCTATCCTATCCTATCCTATTCCTATCCTATCCTACCTATTTTGCATTCTATTCTATTCTATTCTATTCTATTCTATTCTATTCTATTCTATTCTATTCTATTCTATTCTATTCTATTCTATCCTATCCTATTTTGCATCCTATCCTATCCTATCGTATCCTATCCTATTTTGCATTCTATTCTATTCTATTCTATTCTATTCTATTCTATTCTATTCTATTCTATTCTATTCTATTCTATATTCTGTCCTATCCTATTTTGCATCCTATTCTATCTATCCTATCCTATTTTGCATTCTATTTCTATTCTATTCTATTCTATTCTATTCTATTCTATATTCTATTCTATTCTATTTTCTATTTTCTATTTTCTATTTTCTACATTCTAAATTCTACATTCTACATTCTATACATCCTATCCTATCTATCCTATCCTATCCTATCCTATCCTATCCTATCCTATCCTATCCTATCCTATCCTATCCTATCCTATCCTATCCTATCCTATTTTGCATTCTATTCTATTCTATTCTATTCTATTCTATTCTATTCTATTCTATTCTATTCTATCTATTCTATTCTATTCTATTCTATTCTATCCTATCCTATCCTATCCTATTTTGCATCCTATCCTATCGTATCCTATCCTATTTTGCATTCTATTCTATTCTATTCTATTCTATTCTATTCTATTCTATTCTATTCTATTCTATTCTATTCTATCCTATCCTATCCTATCCTATTTTGCATCCTATCCTATCGTATCCTATCCTATTTTGCATTCTATTCTATTCTATTCTATTCTATTCTATTCTATTCTATTTTCTATTTTCTATTTTCTACTTTCTACATTCTACATCCTATCCTATCCTATCCTATCCTATCCTATCCTATTTTGCATCCTATCCTATCCTATCGTATCCTATCCTATTTTGCATTCTATTCTATTCTATTCTATTCTATTCTATTCTATTCTATTCTATATTCTGTCCTATCCTATTTTGCATCCTATCCTATCGTATCCTATCCTATTTTGCATTCTATTCTATTCTATTCTATTCTATTCTATTCTATTCTATTCTATTCTATTCTATTCTATTTTCTATTTTCTCTACATTCTACATTCTACATTCTACATCCTATCCTATCCCTATCCCTATCCCTATCCCTATCCCTATTCTTTCCTCAACGAAACATTTGTTTAGGTGGAGTTTTGCGAACTTTTTTTTTCCCCCGCCACCATTGTTAAGTGAACCACTACACGGTTGTGTAGCTAGTAACACAGTTGTTAAGTAAAATCTGACTTTCCCCATTGATTTTGCTGGTCGGACGGCCGCCAAAGGCGATCTCACATGACCCCTGGGAGCTTGCAACTGTCATAAGTACATGCCAGTTGCCGAGCAGCTGGATTTTGATTACATGACCCTGGCTCCCACCCCCATCCCCAAAAAAGCCCTCATTTTATTTTAATGATGGCTTAAGTGGCCCTGATCAGGTTTTCTCTTAGGGTGCTGCCACTTGAGAGGTTGGGTGGACCCCAGCTTGCCTTGTTCTTCAAACGAGGTTCAGAAGGCTTACAGACCAAGAGTTAGCCATGAATGATATTTATCTGGGCTCCTAATTCCCATTACATTTTGCTAAAGCTACGACAATAGTTTTAAAACATTGGGGTGGGTGGAGGAGAAAAGGGGAGAAATTCTGTTTTCTGGGTTACGGAGCTAAATTTATTTATTTCTTTTCTTTTATTTTATTGGTTCGATTTATATGCCGCCCTTTCTCCGGAGACTCAGGGCGGCTTACAATGCGTTAAGCAATAGCCTTCATACCTTTTGTATATACCTGCTTAGTAGGGCTTCCCCCCACCCCCCACCCCCGCTAAGCGGTGTTCTTTTTTTTTATACAAAGTCAGCTTATTGCCCCCACAATCCGGGTCCTCATTTTACCTACCTCGGAAGGATGGAAGGCTGAGTCAACCTTGAGCCTGGTGAGATTCGAACTTGCAGTAATTGCAGGCAGCTGGCAGCTAAGTGCTACTTAACAGCACTTTAAGTCCGCTGCACCACCAAGGCTCTTTAAATAGTTGTGTGGCGTGGAGACAGCGCAGATACGCAGCCCTTTATGTTGTTTCCCTTTGTGGCGTTTACACTACAAGCCTCCCGTGCTTTTGATTGCCGTGTCGCCGAGATCCAAAGCTTTTGCGTTTACTTAGCCACATGACGAGGAAAACCGTGTTGAAGGCCTGTTTTCCTTTTTACAAGCGGTTTCTTGGAAAGTCTGCTTAGGTTGGGCAGCCAAACCTTTTTTTGTGACGCCTTCGGGTTTTGAACGAGTTCCCCTGGGCCCTTTAATACTTTGCAATAATAAGACCCTGGCAGGGATTTCCTCTTACCTCATCCTCTAGGGCAGGGGTGCCCAACCTTGCCCACTCGTAAGATTTGTGGACTTCAACTCCCAGAATTCTCTTGGGGAATTCTGGGAGTTGAAGTCCACAGGTCTTATAGTTGCCCAGGTTGGATACCTCTGCTATAGTGTATATTCTCTCTCTCTCTCTCTCTCTCTCTCTCTCTCTCTCTCTCTCCTCTTCCCCCTCCCTTTATCTTTCCCTCCCTCTCTCTTCCTGTTTCTCTCTCCCTCTCCATGATTCTTGATGAACGTATCTTTTCTTTTATGTACACTGAGAGTGTATGCACCAAAAACAAATTCCTTGTGTGTCCAATCACACTTGGCCAATAAAGAATCCTATTCTATTCTATTCTCTCTCTCCCTCCTTCCTTCATCTCCCTCTCTCTCTTTCTTCCTCTCTCTCTCCCTTCTTCCTTCATCTCTCTCTTTCTGTCCCTCCCTCCCTCTCTTTGTCTTCCTGTCTCTCTCCTTCTCCCTCCTTCATCTCACTTCTTCCCCCTCTTTTTCTCCCTGCCTCCCTCCACCCCCTCTCTCTTTATCTTTCCCTCCTTCCCTCCCTCTTTTTCTTTCTCTTTCCCTCTCCTCTCTCTCCTGCCTTCCTTCATCTCTCTCTTTCTCTCTCCCTCCTTCCTTCAACTATCTTTCTCTCCCTGTCCCTCGCTCTCTCTTTTCCTTCCCTCTCTGTCTCCCTCCTTCCTTCATCTCTCTCTTTCTCCCCCCTTTCTCCCTTTGTCTCTCCTTCCTTCCTTCCTTCCTTCCTTCCTTCCTTCCTTCCTCTCTCTTCCTTCCTTCCTCTCTCCCTCCTTTGTCTCTTTCTCTCCCTGTCTCTCTCATTCTCCCTCCTTCATCTCTCTTTTTCTCCCCCTCTTTCTCTCCCTGCCTCCCTCCCCTCTCTGCCCCCCCCCCTCTCTCTCTCACACACACACACACAAACAACCCCCTTTGGGTAGTAGCTGTTGTTTGACAGATGATGTGCAATTCTTCTTTTTCAGATCACAGCCAACATTGATCCTGTGGGTCGTATTCAGATGCGCACTAGACGAACACTGCGAGGACACTTGGCCAAAATTTATGCAATGCACTGGGGAACCGATTCCAGGTAAGTTACCTGGGTTGGACAGGTTGTCCCCCAACGCAAGGTTGGATACTAAGGATTCCTCCCTTCTCATGAGAAGAGGGAAGGATTTACCCCCCCCCCCAAAAAAAGGGAGATGGGAGGAAATCGGTGAGCCTGAGCAGCTCCTGGTTGTGCTACTGCTTTGTGCAACACAACAGATGACCAATAATGAGCCTCTCCTGCTTCGCCCCAGCTATTTTTCCTCAATTTATGACGAGTCCTCTACCTACGATCGTAATTGGGCCCAGGATGTCCATTGCTAAGCAAAGCAGTTGTTAAGTGAGTCGCCCCCAATTTTGCAATCTTTTTTGGCCACGGTCATTAAGAACAGAGAAAACAGAGTTGGAAGGGACCTTGGAGGTCTTCTAGTCCAACCCCCTGCTCAGGCTGGAAACCCTCCACCAATTAAGCAAATCAGTGCAGTCGTTCAGTGGATCATGCGGTCGTTAAGGGAATCTGACTTCCCCCCATTCAGTGTGCTTGTTGGAAACCGGCTGGGAAATGTGGCAACGATGATCACACAACCCCTAGGACAAGGCAGCCATGACGAATACATACTGGTGGCCATTAGCACCTGAATTTTGATGATGGGACTGCAGGAATGGTTGTTAGCTGAGGACTAACCGCAAGTCACTATTTTCAGTACTTTTGGAACTTTGAACGGTCCCTAAACAAGTGGTTGTACGTCACTTTGACCATAGTAGTGGCATTTTTGATACGAGATTCAGGCCAGTTCATTTTTTTTTTTTTTTTTTTTTTTTTGCCTGGAGTTGAGCAAAACTCCGAAACACAAACACACACAGTGGGGAAAGATTTATTTAAACAAAGCCACCACCGTCATTAATAAAGTTTTACAATTGTACTTTTCCTGCTCCAGAACGGGGAAACATTAAGCGATGCTGACAAGTAAAAGTTAACATTTATTCTTCTTTGTTGACAGAGAACTGGGCTTGTTTTTCAAAAAGACGGCAGCCCTCTTCCTCCCCCCCCTTTTTTTTGGAATTGACCAAAGCTGTATCGGAAGGGCTGTTTTTAATCCAAGGAAAAGAATCTTTACTAATGACTCGAATTTTGTTTCTTCAAGTCAAATAATCCGTGTTCCTCTTTTTTTTTTATTAACTGATGTTTATGAACTGTGTCACAATGGCATTCAAACACAGAACAAGCTGAAAGTTAAAACGCTAATTATACAAGCAAAGTTTACAAAAACCCTTTAAAATATGTAAATTCAACATATGACATGCCGTGCAATGATAAATAGCATATAGGTGAAGGTTCCCCTCGCACATATGTGCTAGTCGTTCCCGACTCTAGCGGGGCGGTGCTCATCTCTGTTTCAAAGCCGAAGAGAGCCAGCGCTGTCCGAAAATGTCTCCGTGGTCATGTGGCCAGCATGACTCAATGCCAAAGGCGCACAGAATGCTGTTCCCTTCCCACCAAAGGTGGTCCCTGTTTTTCTACTTGCATTTTTTACGTGCTTTCGAACTGCTAGGTTGGCAGAAGCTGGGACAGGTAACGGGAGCTCACCCCTTTACGTGGCACTGGGGATTCGAAAATATATATATATATGACATCCTCTGTGATAATAAGCCCAATTGGGCTTCTGAGCACATGGCAATAAGGCCAAGTGCTTATTTCAGGGTTCAAAAAAATATAAGACAGGATCTTATTTTCGGGGAAACACAATATATATATAAATAGCATATATATATGCTATTTATGCTATTTATATTTAGCATAAAATATATTTATAGTTAGCATATATATTATATTATATATGCTAACATGGTAAATATATAAATAGCTATAATATACTACAATCAGTGTTAAGCTCTTTACAGATTCCCAGATCTTTGTAATCTCGTAGAAAAGGTGGAAATATCAACAGATCCAGTTATGGTACTTTCAGGTCAATTCTGATCAATGCACTTTCCCGGGTTCAGCATTGTATAATATAGGTACTCCTCGCCTTACAACTGTTCATTTAGTGACCATTCAAAGTTACAACAGCACTGGAAAAAGTCACTTACAGCCCTTGTAATCAGCAGTGGGTTTCCAATATACTCACCACCAGTTCATTGTGCGTGCGCACTCTTGCTTAGCGTGCGTGCACACGCCTTCTGCGCATGTGCTTTGCTCACTCGCGCGCCTTCTGCGCATGTGCCCGGCTTTGAAAATATCTCCGCTGCCGGTTTGCCCGAACCGGCTGAATACCACTGATTCTAATGTCTCTGCAGTCACATGATCAAAATTCAGGCATGGATTTACGATGGTTGCCGCCTCACAAGGTCACATGATTGCCGCTCGCAACCTCCCCTTCCAGCTTCCAACCAGCAAAATCAATATTGGGGGGGGGGGGGAAGGAAGGAGGATTTGCATAATGGCCGTGCTCTTTATTCAACGACCATTGAGATTCACTTTAACGTCCACGGCAACAACAACAAAAAAAGATGTAAAATTGGGCGTGCCTCGCTTAGCAGCCGCTCTGCTTAGCAGTGGAAGTTTTGGTTTCAATTGCGGTCACGATTCGGGGACTTAACCATACAAGTGTTTCCCATGGATGGTTAAACGGCCATTTAACAAAGATAACGCGCAGATGGCTGCACTCCAAGCTTCCAGGGTTTAAACAGCGCCGAAGCCATTGACACGGTTCCTGGGTTAAAGCTAAGGCGACGTGATTTACTGGGAAACTCTTGTGAAAGATTCAATCAATTGATCGAGGCCAGCCTGGACCAGTTCACTGTATGATTAGCCAAAAAAAAAAAAAGAAAAAAATCAATTTATTCTCCCTTCTCTGCTCTTCTAGGCTTCTGGTTAGCGCATCACAAGATGGAAAACTGATCATTTGGGACAGCTACACCACAAACAAGGTGAGAGACGAATCAAATGTTCTGGCTGGTTGTTGAATTGCAGCAAAGCCATTCAGATTTCAACACAACTTCGTTCCCTAAAGCTTGTGTTCTTTTTATGTCTGCTGTAGCCCTAGTGAAGAGTTAAGATACACGCCCATTTACTCCTTTAAGTTGCAGGCCAAAAGTAATTATTTCTTGAAGCCGCACACAGGTTTAACCTCTGCTGCTGGCAGTAGATACATATTACATTTAAGAGCTTCTAGCTGGGTGAAAAACAGGGAATTCCAGCAGGAAATGGAAATTACTAATAGTTTGCAAAGAGCTACTTAACCTTGTAAACATTTCCCCTATCATTGTTTTCTCAAAGTTCTCTAAAGTACCCAACAGAGCTATCTTATCAGAAGTTTCCATTTTCTCGATTCCAGTGTATTTTCTCCCAAAATTCATTGCAACACTTGTAAACTTAGAGGGAACCAGCATGTATAATACTTAAAGTAGTGAAGATAGCTCCTTCAGGGAGTTCAAACCACTCAGTATCTCTCCGTCCAACCTACCTCAAAGGGCCATGGTGGGGAAAAACAGGAGGAGGCAAGCAGCCCATTTGCAAACAATTCAGTGCTAGCAAAACTCGGATACAGAATAACAAGAGTTGGAAGGGTCCTTGAAGGGCATCTAGTCCAACCCCGCTACACCATTACTGACAGATGGCAGTCCAGTCTCTTCTTGAAAGCTTCCAACGATGAAGCTCTCCCCACAACATCCGAAGGCAACTTCTCTTCCATGGGTTGATTAAGAGGCCTTTTCCCTAAATGGCTGCCAAATAAAAATTAACCGCTTAAAAAGCAGCAACGCAATGCCAGATCAGCTTTTTAGAAAGCCACAATTCGTTTTCTGGGTTCCATTTCTTGTGTGTCCAAGTCTGAACCAACTTTAGCCTTCTTTCAGGATGATTTATTGATAAAACAGGACCCTCCTCCAATTTGCCAGGAAATTCACATCCTTGCCACTTAACTGCCAGCGAAACATCTACCTGCTCACGGAAGCCTATTTTGTTTCACTAAATTATCCCATTTTTTATTTTTCCGTATTTTTGCTAGGTCCATGCCATCCCACTGCGTTCCTCTTGGGTCATGACCTGCGCATACGCCCCTTCCGGAAACTACGTGGCCTGCGGTGGTCTCGATAACATTTGTTCCATTTACAACTTGAAAACACGTGAAGGCAACGTCCGAGTAAGCCGTGAGCTGGCCGGCCACACAGGTACGTCCTTCTCCCATCCAGACTCAGTTCATTTGACCCCTGGGTGATGCTACATCCTTGTAAAAGTCACCTTGTTTGTTGGCTTCAGAACATGTCCCAAATTCTGGGTAATTTTTGTGCAACTCAAGGGAAGGCTCGCCTTTCGTCAGGTTAGGTAATTCCTGGGACAGGTAAGATGCTCAGCTCAGTGTTCTGCTTTTCCCAGATATGTGGACTCCGACTCCCAGAGTCCCCAGCCCTCTTGGGATGTTGGGAATTTCAATCTATGAATCGCAAGCTTTTTAAAAAGGAGGCTAAATTGACTGCCTCCATGTTCTGTGGTTGTATGAACTTCACTTCTCCAGATTGAATGTAACATAGAGGCAGGGAGTTTGGCTAGGATATATGAAGGATCTCTAGGTGAGTGGTTGCGGTGGCCTAGAGGCAGAGCTCTTGCCTCACAATCAGGAGGCTGTGAGTTCGATCCTAGGTAGAGGCAGATATTTCTCTCTCTGGGCACAATGAGAATATATCTGCTGAACAAAACTCCACATTGGCAACAGGAAGGGCATCCGGCCAGTAAACACTCAGCTCCATTCAGTTGCCCAGACTCCACACCGACGCAAGGGATTATGGTGAAAAGAAGATGATGATTTTAGTTCCAGTTGGATTCCTCGCTTGTTACATCGGTGTCGGCGGCCTCCTGGACTTATGATACCTTTAGAACAATTTTTCAACAATTTTTTTATTGGAAAGCAGATCGATTCTGAGGAATTACGACTAAACACTCAGCTCCATTCAGTTGCCCAGACTCTACCCCGCAAGGGATTATGGAGTCGTCAAAAGAAGATGATATGAAGGCTCTCTGGCGGTGGGGGCTGGTTCTGGAAGGTATTACTTAGTGCAGGGGTTCCCAACCCCCGGTCTGCGGCATGCCAGCAACCAGTCCGCACAAACAAGTGAAGCCTCATCGGCGGGATGCAGGCAGCACGCGAAACCACCGTCCCTCCAGTCGGTGAAAAAATCTCCACGGAACTGGTCCCTCAGGCTCAAAAGCTTGTGGGGGCCACTGACTTAGTGGTTGGGTGGTACTTTCCCATCCCCAATCATAGAGGAAGAGATAGAGAACTGACTACATCTGTCCCAAGAGATTAGGCTGTTCAATATGCCAAACAGCTGGGTTTCTTCCCTCTGCCCGCCCCCGGGTGCCATTAAAAAGATGATAATCTCACTTTTGTCATAATAGACTTAGCACGATTATCCCGAGAAATTCTACCTCCCCAGGGAGGTTATTGGGAATATCTCCGAATCGGCATCTGTCCACTTGCACGCAGGCCGTTAAACCAAATTCGACATGGCGAAGTTCAGAGCGCTAATAAAAAGGATGAACGCTTTTTAAGAGGATAAGCGGATGGGATATGAATCTCGGTCGTGGGCGTCAGATTTTAAAAGGTTTTCAGGATCAAAAGGACAACCAGTGTCTCCTTTTGTGTGTGTGTGTGTGGTTCTGGTTTGTGACGGATTCCTTTGGGAACGTTTGTTATTCTTGCAGAGAAGTAACAGGTGTGAAGGCAAGTGATGTAACACACCTTGAGAGTGAAAAAAGTATTTGGCAAAGGAACCCTGTAGAGCTGTTGTTGCCTTCTTGCGGATTAACAGGAAGAGTTTATCCTGTTATCTGAGGGATCCAGTTTTCTGGATGAGCTTAAGGCATCCTTGCGCTGTTTTTGTTTGTGTTTCGTCAGCGCTCCTCAACAATGGCCTAGAGTACAGAATATCCTGTTTTCCCGAAAATAAGACCCAACCAGAAAATAAGTCCTAGCATGATTTTTCAGGATGTTCGTAATATAAGCCCTACCCCAAAAATAAGCCCTAGTTAAGATCGTCAGAGAGAGCCATTTAGTACTGTATGTCTCCCCCAAAATAAGACCTAACCGGAAAATAAGTCCTAGCATGATTTTTCAGGATGCTTATAATATAAGCCCTACCACAAAAATAAGCCCCAGTTAAGATTGTCAGCCAGATGGGTGCATTTAGTATCGTATTTCCCCCTTATTTTCTTAACCAGAAAATAAGCCCTAATGCATCTCTCGGAGCAAAAAATTAATATAAGACTCGGTCTTATTTTTGGGGAAACACGGTAGAGGAAAAGCAAGGTGTAATTCAAAGAATAAAGATGGCTGCCTCATCAAACATTAGGCTTGCTTTAATATATCCTAGCACAGCCCAGAATTGTGGATCTTTCCTATATGGCTTTGGGGCGCTGGTCCCTAGAAATAACCCACCCATAACCCACCTCTTGTTCTACGGAGCTTCTTAAAATATGGAATTGTCAGGTAACACGAATCCTCTCCAAAGCAAACGAGCCCGCCTTATTCACCGGGACATCCAGCAGCCCTTATTTTACTCTGCTCTTTCTGTTTGCAAAAAAATAAAATAAAATAAAATAAAAAATTAAGACTTGAAGGCCCGACTCAGCTCAGGGACTCTTCCTCCCACTTGCCAGCTTGGCTCCGGAAAACCTTTGGCGGTTCTTAAAAGAGACACCCCCCCCAGCAAAGCTCTGCGTCCCGCTGACTTCGCTCGGCTTGCCGGCTTTTTGGATGGAGACGAAAAGCAGCTCTCTGAGAACACTCGCCGGGGAGGGTGGGAGTGGGGGGGAACTGAGGTTATACGACCGCAATAAAGAGCTATTTATAAATCCGGCCAGGTTTACAGGACAAGATGGGAACATTTTCTGAATAAGCCTTTGAGTCGAAAGCTAGGAGGGGAAAAAAAAAATATTCACGGCGAAGGGCTGGAACCGTTTTTTCCTCCGGCCTTTTAGTTTATTTTGAAGTTATCCTGGGATACCTCACTGGATCAGGTCCTGTCCTGGGATAGTCCGGCGTCAGTGTGTCCCTCGCTGTTGAAATGGGGCGGGTGGGCCGGCGATGAACCCAAGGATACGGGACGTGGAAGTTCCCTGCGATGAACTGAAACATATTTTTCGATTATGGGTTGTGAGAATAACCTTGGGGAGACCGAAGGAGGAAGAGCTGCAGCCAGGGCAGCTGTCAGATAAGAGCAGGGGGCCGGATCCTACCTGGGGGGTGCTTAGATCTATCCCGGGGGTCTGCCCTGGAAATAGCGAAGGACTGGTGCATGCCCCCCGCCCCGAATTCCATTTTCGCTGGCAGAGGGGTTGCAGGAGGCCATCGCAGCCGAAAACGGAGCTCGTAAGCCCGGTTTTTGCTGGCAGTGCACTTGGGCCACCACACAGTTAAGTGAATCTGGCTTCCCCGTTGCTTGTCAGAAGGTCGCGAGGATACTGCAACTGTCATAAATGCAAGTCAATTGTCTGGATTTTAATCGTGACCCTGGAGATGGTGCAGGAGACCCTACACCATTTCTGACAAAATGGCAGTCCAATCAAGAACTTACCTGTAAAGGCAAGGGAGAGGGTGGGCCATGCTAAACCCCCCCCCCCTACTGCAAAGGTGGCGCTAGTCCTCATGGTTCCAGCTCCCTTTTCTTGGACCGCCTCAAAGGTTTGCCTGACGACATCTCTCGCTTTCTCTTTTTTTGCAGGCTATTTGTCCTGTTGCCGGTTTGTGGATGATAATCAGATTGTGACCAGCTCTGGAGATACCACTTGGTAAGATCCGAACTCGGGTAACCTGACCCGTCGTAGCTTTGCGCGCTCAAAAACAAACAAACATAACGTTGAACATTGGGTCGAAATCTTGTTCTCTCCCCTGCCAGTCTTTAAATCCTGCAGAAACATTTTTTAAAAAAATAGGAGGAGGAAGCTGTTTTCTCCGAGCACAAATGTTCAAGCAGGAGTTTATTTTTAGTACCCCGAAATCAGGATCAGGCAAGATCAGGCAACTCAGCTGGGATCGTCAGAGCCTTTTAAAAGCATTTATTTTACAACCTCTTCAGCCCAAAGAGGTTGTAGAAAAAAATGCTTTTAAAAGTTAAAAAAAAAAAAAGCCTCTGATGATTGCGCGGCTCAGCTGGGCATGGGGGCGAGGCAGGGATTTTTGCTACCGGTTCTCCGAACCACCTGCCGTCATCGCTACCGGATCGGGTGATCCGGTCCGAACCGGGAGCATTTCACCCCTGGATCTTGGGCTATTCCAGCAGTGGAATAGGATTATCTTGAAACTCAAAAAAAAAAAATATATGTTGTGTTATTAGCCGTCATACCTCAAAAATACAACTTTTCCCAAAAGGTTTCCACAATTTTGGCCACTACTGTAAATCATAATATTTATTTATTTTATTTTATTTATTGGTTCGATTTATATGCCACCCTTCTCCGGAGACTCAGGACGGCTTACAATGCGTTAAGCAATAGCCTTCATACTTTTGTATATACCTGCTTAGTAGGGCTTTCGGGCCCCCCCAAGCGGTGTTCTTTTTTATACAAAGTCAGCTTATTGCCCCCACAATCCGGGTCCTCATTTTACCTACCTCAGAAGGATGGAAGGCTGAGTCAACCTTTTTTTTTTTTTAATTTGATTTATATGCCGCCCTTCTCCGGAGACTCAGGGCGGCTTGCAATGCGTTAAGCAATAGCTTTCATCCTTTTGTATATTTATACAAAGTCAGCTTATGGCCCCCACAAACTGGGTCCTCAATTTACCTACCTTAGAAAGGATGGAAGGCTGAGTCAACCTTGAGCCTGGTAAGATTTGAACCTGCAGTAATTGCAGGCAGCTGGTGTTAATAACAGGGTGCTTTAGACGACTGTACTACCAGGCTCCAACCTTGAGCCTGGTGAGATTCGAACTCGCAGTAATTGCAGGCAGTTGGCAGCTAAGTGCTACTTAACAGCACTTTAGTCCGCTGCACCACCAAGGTAATACTTAAGCTTTCAATGCTGGGATCGTCCCGCATCATCCAAGCAGCTGACAGAGCGATGGCCCTCTTTTAAGCCACTTCAGATCATGGAGAAATCTGCTTTTTTAAAAAAAAAAAAATGAAAATAAAGGTGATTTTTTTTTAAGGCCTGTGAGTCAGAGAAAAGGGGAGAAGTCGCCAGCAAATTTAGAAATGTGATCTGTGTGTGGGAATCCAGCAGAGATTTTAGGGCGGGGAGAAACTCGCTAGGAGACTTAACTCGGTCGTTGGATGATGGTGGCGTGTTTTTTTTTTTTGTTCTCTCCGCCTTACCTACCGCAGCGCCCTGTGGGACATAGAAACCGGACAGCAAACTACCACGTTTACCGGCCACACCGGCGATGTCATGAGCCTATCCCTCGCTCCGGATTCCAAGTGTTTTGTCTCTGGTGCCTGCGATGCCTCAGCCAAGCTGTGGGATGTCCGAGAAGGGATGTGCAGGCAGACTTTCACCGGCCACGAGTCGGACATCAATGCCATTTGTGTACGTAGGCAAGGTGACGGGCGAGGAGGCGGTCAGGCTGCCTCGTCATCGGGACCGCTAATGCTGTGATGTCCCTCGAGGGAATGGGGATGAGATTTACTACTAGGGGGGTAGATCTATTGCCAAGATTCCCCCCCTCCCTCCCTCCCTCCCTATCTGTCTTTCTATCTACATCTCTCTCGATAGATAGACAGACAGACAGACGTGTATATATAATCTTCCTATTGTGTGTCTGTCTATCGGTCTAACTCTATTCTATATCTCTCTATTGGTCTACCTGTCTCTACTCTTTCTCTCTTGTTTCTATCGGTCGGTCAGTCTTTCTGTCTGTCTATCTATCCATCTCCTTCCTTCCTTCCTTCTTATCTATCTATCCATCTCCTTCCTTCCTTCCTTCTTTATCTATCCATCTCCTTCCTTCCTTCCTTCTTTATCTATCTATCCATCTCCTTCTTTCCTTCCTTCTTATCTATCTATCCATCCACCTTCCTTCTTATCTATCCATCCATCTCCTTCTTTCCTTCCTTCTTATCTATCTATCTATCCATCTCCTTCCTTCCTTCCTTCTTATCTATCTATCTCCTTCCTTCCTTCTTATCTATCTATCTATCTATCTATCCATCCATCTCCTTCTTATCTATCTATCTATCTTTCTATTTCCACCTATCTATCCATCTCCTTCCTTCCTTCTTTCCTGTCTGTCTGTCTGTCTATCTATCTATCATACCTATCTTTAATATCTACCTACCTACCTACTATATATCTATCTAGGTAAGGGGTTGGACTACATGACCTACAAGGTCCCGTCCAACTCTGTTAATCTAATCTAATCTATATCATCTATCTATGCATGTCTGTCTGTCGAGAGAGATGTAGATAGACATCTCTATCTACCTATCTACCTATCTAATCGAGGAATTGACCATGTCCCTCACAGAGGGCATAACAAATAAAATATTAAAAGCATAAAAACAGTATGCTTTAAAAAAAAAAAAAAAGCTTTCATATTATTAAGCAGCCACATCTGCCCCTCCCAGATCCTCGGGAAGGACTCAATAGATGGACAGAAATGCCAAATCCAGGCAGGCTGAACCACATCTGGCTGAACCGTACGACCACGAATCCCCGTCATCGTAAATCGTTTAAATCCCTTCTCTCTCTCCCCGCCTGCGCAGTTCTTCCCCAATGGCAACGCTTTCGCCACTGGCTCCGACGATGCCACGTGCCGGCTTTTCGACCTCCGTGCCGACCAAGAGCTCATGGTTTATTCCCACGACAACATCATCTGTGGCATCACCTCCGTAGCATTCTCCAAGAGCGGGCGTCTCCTGCTAGCCGGTTACGACGACTTCAACTGCAACGTGTGGGACACGCTCAAAGCGGACAGAGCAGGTCAGGCTCGCCCCCCCCCCCCCCCTCTTTTTTTTTTTTGGGTGGGGGCCATGTGGCTGAGGGAGAAGAGCGATGGCGGATGAGGGAGGAAGTGGGGAAGGAAGGGGAATGAATGAATGAATGAATGAATGAATATCAAATCCATGAGCAAATTCAGCCACTCGTGATTATTTTTTCCTTCCTTCCTTCCTTCGTTCCTTCCTTCCTTTTCTCTTGCTTTCTCGCTCCTTCCTTCCTCCCTTCCCCCTCCCTTTTCTTTCCTTCCTTCTAGCTTTCTCTGTCCTCTCTCTTTCCTTCCTCCCCCTTCCCCCTCCCTCCCTGCCTTCCTTCCTGCTTTCTCTGTCCTTCCTTCTCTCTTGCTTTCTCTCTCCTTCCTCCCTCCCTCCCTCCCCCTCCCTCTTCTTTCCTTCCTTCCTGCCTTCCTTCCTGCTTTCTCTGTCCTTCCTTCTCTCTTGCTTTCTCTCTCTCCTTCCTTCCTTCCTCCCTCCATCCCTTCCCCCTCCCTCTTCTTTCCTTCCTCCCCCTCTCTTTTTTCCTTCCTTCATCGCCCTCCCTCCCTCTTATTCTTTTCTTCCTTCCTTCCCTCCCCCCTTCTGCTTTCTCTCTCTCTCTCTCACACACACACACACACTTATGAGATGACTGTGGGTGGTATATATTTGCTACTCGACTGTATTGCAACTCTCCTCACGCATTGTGTTTCATTCTCCTCTCCTCTCTCTCTCTCTCTCCCCCCACAGGCGTCTTAGCTGGCCACGATAACCGCGTCAGTTGCTTAGGTGTGACCGACGATGGCATGGCGGTGGCAACAGGATCGTGGGATAGCTTCCTCAAGATCTGGAACTGAAGCCTGTAGGTACCCATTCCCATGCTCCCCTCCCCCAAAGCTGGGAAAATGTGGGTCGGAATCTGCTTCCACCTTCACTTCAAGTGAAATTATGGGGTTGGGGAGGGAGACCAATCAGCAACAGAGTCAAGCCTAATCTTGGCCTGATTTACTTCTAGGGGCAGGGAAACCATCATTGTATCAAATGACCATCAGGGTAGGAACAAGGCATTCCAGTTTAAGGGATGCTAGGTCCTTAAACGGGATATAAGCAGCTGCCTGTCCATCTGTCTTTCCTGTGCTTGAGCTGGAGATGTGGCTTAACAAGAGGGCCCTCCCCGGACTCCGGAGGCTTTCCTCGAGCCTCCAGGAGGGTGAAAACGGCCTCCCCAGGCTCCGGAGGCCCTCCGGAGGCTCCGGAGCCTGGAAACGGGCTCATTTCTGGCCTTCCCAAACTTCCGGTAGGCCCGTTTTTCGCCCTCCCCGAGCCTCCGCGCACGCCCTGCACTTACCGGCATACAAAATGGGCCACATGGGGACTCCTGGGAGGGGCGGGGCAGAGTGGGCGGGGCCAGCCAGGAGTGGGATTTGGGGGCGGGGGTTCTCCGAACTGCACAGAATCTTAGCTAGAGGTTCTCCCGAAGCCTTGCGAAACCCCCGGGGGCCCACCCCCTGCGCGTGACTAACTTAGCTATTTTCAATGATTCACTTAACACGGATTGTTAAGTGATTGTAAAACGGAGCACGACTCCTTTAACATCTCGCTTTAGCGATGGAAATTTTGGGCTCAATTGTGTGGTTGCAAGTTGAGGATTATCTGTGAGACAGACAGACAGACAGACAGACAATTCCCAGTGGCTTTGATTCCAGACCCTAACCAAGGTTTTTTTCTCTCCGTGTCTTCTCTTGCAGGACAGTCTGTGGACTCCCCGCTGATCAGAAGAATTCCCCCCCCCCCAACGGTTGAAAGTTTAAAATAATGTATCCAACTCAATATACTAACTTGGATCCCCTTCCCTGCCCCCCCTCTCCCCCCTCCCTCCCCCTCTCCCCCCTTCCTACCCCACCACCAAAGGGCAAAAGTTCTTTTCACATCTCGCCGAAGAGCACAATTCTCAAAGAGGAATCACCACAGTTGTTATACCAGTAAATAGCAAAAGAGATCAAAATTGTGCATTCCATTGGGGACCACATGTTATTATTAATTATTATTATAATTACATTATTATTATTTTGGGGGGGGGTTTGTCTAGAGAAAAAAAAACGAAAAAAAAACCTTAAAAAGAAATCACACGCTTGTCGTTAAGCATGCCTGGGGCAAAACTTAAAAGCGAAGTAAAACGATATGATAAATAAGTAAGGAAAACAAAACACCTTGTCAGAAAAAGCAAAAGGTAAAAAAGTTTTAAGTTTCACTGTAGTTTAAACCAAACAAACAAACAAAAAAGGCAAATCATACTGACTTTATGGGTTAATGGTGGGAAGGTTTCGTTTTAATCTCATCTTTGAAACTTAGAAGTCACGTGCGTAGCAAGATCGGTATCTCCTCTTCTTTTTTTTGGTCCATGTTTCCATGTCCTTTTTTCCCTTTCTTAAAATTTTATTTTTATTTTTTTAAAAAAATGCAATTTGCTTTTGACGGTCCAATTTCGAGCCAAGAGAAAGGAGTTCCCAACCCAGATGTTTCTGGGGGTTGTTTAAATGCTGTAAATTTACTCCCTGGGTTTTTTTTCTTTTTCTTTTATTCTTTATTCTTTTTTTTCCTTTTTTTTTTTTTAAAAAAAAAAATCTGTCTTAATGTCACAAATCGTTGCACAAATATTGCATATATATGATAATGTTAAGAAAATAAGCAAGCACACTCTGTACATGGTATTGAATGTTTAAAAAAAAAAAACCTTTTCACTTCTATGGGTAACAAAAAAAAATAAAAATACGTTCCTTCTTTTTTGTCCCCCCCGTCCCCCCTCCCTCAAAATCTCGCCAGTTTTCCATTTCCTATCTGCTGAGTTTGTTTGACTAATGCCGAAGACTATCCCATAATTTCGATCCAACAACCAGATTTGGTGGGTTGGGGTTTCAGGAGCAAGGCTAAGTGGGGGGGGAAGGCTAAGGGGGGGGGTGGAAAAATAAAACCCCACCACGAACCTTTGGCTGGGTCCGAAGCAAGATCCAAATATGATTTTTTTTTTTATTTTTTAGTGAAAAACACGATCTGAGGTTTTTCTAAATTAAAAAACGATGATGATGGAAAAGTTGGGGTGGGGAGGGGGCACGTTTGGGATTTGCCAATTTTGGGGTGGGGGGGTTGGATTTCTCTTAGAATCGCATGCTGTAGAAACGCTGAAGTGCATAATAAAACTAAGACGTCCTTCTGTTTGTGTTTTCTTTCGGGAAATTAACCTCATCCTTTAATCTTTTCTTTTTCTTTTTCTTTTTTTAAAAAAAACAAAGAAAGAAAGCAACTAGTTATAAACCATTGTTGATTTTCCTTACCGCCGCTACTGGGGGTGCATTAAAAAACGGATTTCAACCGAAAGAATGAAAAGTCTCCAGACTTTTTTTTTTTTTTTTTTGCACATCTGGAAGTATCGTTTTTAATAACGTTTCCCCCTCCCCACTCCTTTCTTCTATTTCCCCCCCCAAAAAAACCCCTAAATTTGAAAGCAAAAAGCCAGCTGTTTAAACAATCACTTAGATTCAAATTTGAGGTAGAGAAAGGAGAAAGACAGTTAAGCCCCTTTTTCCTCGCTTTGCATTTTTGAAAGTTGAGCATTTGGACAGCAAATTGTTTGGATAAAACTTTTCGATTTCTTCCTCTCCTCCTTTCCTTTCCCTTCCCCCCCCTTTTTTTCTTTTCTAAGCAGGGATTTGTTAAAAATCCTCTTCCTTTTTCACTCTCTTGCGTTTTCCACCCCTGCGACATTCTGTACAAAATGTGCTGTAATCGTGCATTTTATTTTATTTTTTAAAAGAAGGCCTGGATTTGGCATCTTGATTTTATTTTATTTTTATTTTTTGGATTTTTTTTTTTAAATCACCCTCTTTCCTCTTCCCCTCGCCCCCCCCACCCTTGAGATAAATCTCTGTAGAGCTTCCTCTGCACACAACACCCCCCCGATTCCTTCACTTTTTGTATTTAATTTTAAAGTCGGTGTACTTCAAGAAAGCTGGATGCAAGATAGATCCTATATTAAAATGTACTGTTATTTAAGATGTAATAAAGCAGTTTGACATGACTTGCTCGGAGGGCCCTTGTGGTTTTTGCTGGGAGCGGAAACAGCATTTTTTTGGTGTCGTCGTTCTTCGGGGAAGTATGGCTAAGTAGCCTGGTTCCTCCAGAAAATGTTATATGCCGTAAACCATGGTTTGCAACCACCGCTGAGTTTCCAACGACCCGCTAAGCCAAAACCAACTGGGTTTAGATGAAATGTGATTAGGTAAGCACCAGGTGTGGTATTCAGTTAATTTCCCTACCGAATGTGAGCACGCACATCTGTCCACGCATGCGCCCGGTCTTCCATTCATATGCTTTGTTGGCGCACACTCCTTCCACGCATGTACCGGGCCTCAAAAAAGCACCTAAATAGGATGGCATAGAGCCGGGGCAGGCCAACCCATGATTTCCGCTACTGGTTCTGGTGAACCAGTACGAACCGGCTGAATCCCATCTCTGGTAAACAACGATTAATCTTTTGTGTTTGGGTGTACAACACATTACGGTCCAGCACAGAATAGGATTGGAACTCGGCTCTAGATCCCAAAGTACAGAGGATCTATTAGTGGTAGCCTTTGTCTTAGGTTGTGTGAACCAACTCATTGTGGGATCTCTTTTAGCATCCGGTATATAATGTAGGTTTTATCTATCATTAGATCATTATATACACATTCTATAATCTGTAATGCGTGATGTAGGTTTATAATGAGAAGATTTGAAGTGTGTGATCCCACTGTCGGCTAAACTAGGTTAGAATCAGAGGTAGGTTCCGCATATTTTTACCACCGGTTTGCCGCACGTGTGCTCACTTTGCACACCTGCACACCTTCCGCCGGCCTCGAAAACGTGGCTAAATAGGACGGCATAGCTCCACGATCTCCGCTACCAATTCTCCTGAACCGGCTGAATGCCTCCTCTGGTTAGAACTAACCTTGGATTCTCTTTGTTTAAGCCCAAGCCATTTGAGAATTGTGAAGTGGAGAGCAGGCCCTAAATTGTGCAAAATGAATAGGCTTATTTTTGTTGACTGAAGATTTCAAATATTTTTTTTTATTTTTTTTTAAGCTGTCTGCAAAGAGGCTTTTTCACTTAGGTTTTTGCAGTCTTGGCCCTAAAATAATGTACGTTTGTATTTGTTTAAAAGGGTGCGTGCGCTCAAGTTCGTGGCTCATTGCACAGGCTCTCGAGCCTGCTAGGCAAGGATGATGGGTACTGTAAACCTCGAAGGGACCAGAGAAAACAAGACGTTGGCACTACCATTCGTGCCGGACATTGGCGATCTTGGCAAAGTCCCCGGAAAACCAAAAAGGAATTCCTGAACTCCAAAAGGTGGGGGATTTTTGCGTGATGCATTCATACATCCACACAGAGCTCAACTGAGATAATCAAAATGTTTGAACGGATCCTGGATAAGACACGATTGTCTGGCTGGAAGAAGAGCAAACAAAAAAATCAAAAGATTTGATAGCTGGAATCGGTTCCAAAGAAACCTGCGGCCTTTGGGTGCAAAAAACCCAGCCTTTTTTTTAACGCGGTTGGACGGATGGCATCTCCGCTGTGGTCCCAGGAAGTCTCGGCTTGAAAAATGCAGTGGCAGCCGAGCCGAGAAAATAAGCTTGCCAGGAGGTCGGGTAAGAGGGCTGGCTGCGATCCAGGAAAGAAATCACAAAGAATTACATGTTTGCTTATTCAAACCATCCATCTCTCTGTCCGGTAGCTTTTCGTAACCGTTAAAAAAAAATAAAAATTGATCATTTTCTTCTGGCGTTGAGTCGGGAGGGAAACCAACGGAAAAAGAAGCTGCTGGCAAGGTAAAAAGATCTGGGTTGATTTGATGCGCACATTGTCCGGTCCCGTTGTTTTAACCGCGCCTCTTCCTGTCTCGTGAACTTGGGGATCGCTTGGTGGTCTCCCATCCAGACGGGACGGATTCGTTTCTGGGTCCACACAAAGTTGGCAAAGTGGCTGTTTGCATTAAGACATTTCGTATGACTCCACTGCCAGCTGGCAGTTCACAACACTGCCAAGCACCTAAGCGTTGGCAAGCTAAACACTTCCTGGTTTGTTTGTTTTTTTACACTTCCAGGTTAGATATTTTTTTAAAAAAAACAAAAGAAACTTCACGTGATGGCTCATGAGGCAGTAGAGCCTCATCATTGGCCAATGAAATCTATCTAAAAAATAAAATTCCTCTTTGTTTCGTTAAAAGTCATTCTACCTAGCAGGTTTTAAATCTCTAAAGTGCGACTTGGTGGCTTTAAAAATGTCCTTTTGATTTGTGTACAAATAAGGAGAAATTGTCTGCATCCTCGGGAGACAGTTTCACATTCCAGAAAGTGGGCCTTTATTCTCACCAATAGAAGTGATAACGACAAATGTATTTGCCTGAAATAAGATTCTTGGCTCCCCAAGACGTTGATACTGATATTGCTGAACAATAATATTTATCGTTATTTATATTCCTGCACAACAGTAGTTTCAGGAGACACAGGACCATTTTTCAAAAATGAAAGGATGATTAAATATCACCCATTATATACATCGCAGAATTAGGAAAATTCGGAATTGTGAATTCCATGCGTCTCTCATTTTCAGACATGCTGATCTCAAATTTCTGGCATTGTCCCGATTATAAAATCTTTTTTGACATTCCCTTAGCTTAACCCCATTCTCTTTTTAAAATTTAACCATTTTCTTAGTCTAAGAAACATTCTTAACTATTGAGTTTTTAATTGTCCTTACTCATTTGCTCCACTAGAGGGAACCCTTCCAACACTTAAGCTTTCTTCAAAGGCCTGAATGGAAGGCTAAAATTTTGCAAACCAAAAATAATCCTGCTGCCTTTTGTTTATTTTCTGTTTTCCTTCTGCAACGAGGCTGCCAAGACCGAAAATGGCCATAATCAATCCTTCATTCCTCCAAGGTACACATCCAGAAGAGATAACCTCTAATAGATAAAACTGGTTGTAAATGCAGGTGAGCCATTAAATGGCAGACGAAATGGAAACCCTCCAGAAAAAAAACAATAATTAAGTAGATAAAACAGAAGGCGCTTTGGGAAGGAAAAAGAAAAAAAAAAAGAAATTGCAATTCGGGTCCAGGTAGAGGGGAGAGATTGCTAGGGTTCCCTCACTCTCTAAGAGTCGTTTTTAGTCAATAGAATAGAATAGAATAGAATAGAATAGAATAGAATAGAATAGAATAGAATAGAACAGAAAATATGATATGGAATGGAATGGAGGAGGAGTGGAGTGGAGTGGAGTGGAGTAGAGTAAAGTAGAGTAGAGTAGAGTAGAGTAGAGTAGAGTTGGAATGGAATGGAATGGAATAGAATAGAATAGAATAGAATAGAATAGAATAGAATAGAATAGAATAGAATAGAATAGAATAGAATAGAATAGAATAGAATAGAATAGGCTTTATTGCCAAGTGTGATTGGACACACAAGGAATTTGTCTTGGTGCATACGCTCTCAGTGTACATAAAAGAAAAAGGTACATTAGTCAAGAATAGAATAGGTACAAACACTTAATGATAATCATAGGGAAACAGTCAATATAAATATAAATATCTGTAGGTATTATTTCCAAGTATCAAATAATAAATAAATTTATTTATTCAAATAATAATAAATAAATTTAATTTAAAACCTCTTTTGGGCTAACTTTGTGGTTATCTCACTGGCAGCTGGAGCTGATATGGCTTTATGATCGATTCTGACAGAAAATAAACTATTTAGTAAAGAAATAAGTAAAAGTACATGAGGACTAATGACTTATTTTGCAATCAGGGCTAAAACTAGCCAATCATCCATTAGCAACCAAATTCTTTCCTATTGACCTGACCTTAAGAGAAGGAAAATGAGGAGGAAAATTATTTGGTCATTTTAGGAGCGAGTGACAATAGTTAGGGAATAGATTTTATTTGTTGGTCCTTCCAGTCCCTTTGTGGGCCTTCAAGCTTGGAAACAAAGAGTTTTTTTTCTCTCTCTTTCTTTCTTTCACTTCCAAATGCTTTCGAAAACACCCGGTGTTTTCTGCCAGCTGGAGCTTACAGGTATAAATATAGCTGTAGATGAAAAGAATATTAATGTATGAATCAGGCAGGCGAGAACAAAAGTCTTATTGATATTCAATGCATGTGCAAATTCCTGGTCATCTGGATCTGACAGCTGGCAGATGAAAACGGCACTGATTTAATTAATAGGGGAAATGAACAGAATTTGATTAGCCAGGTCTTTTTATTTAATTATTTTTTTGTGGAGTTCAGTCTGTAGCAGGGATTCTGTCTGAAGCACCAGCCATCTTTGTCTACATTTTCAAAGTTTGGAGCCCATTTGGTGCACTTTCAGATATTTTGTGAATTTTTGGAGGAATATATATATATTCCTCCAAATATATATAATTTACTTTATGCATTTTGACCTCTCTTTCATCGTAAGAAATTTTTGATATTAATGCAAACCTGTTTGGAGCCTCTTACGATGTAAAACGCAGCTTAGTATTTGCTAGCGGCCATCCCACCTCGTTTTAATGAAATAAAATTCCAATTTATTCAGTCTACTGGCAGACAATTTTTGTCACCGAGAGCATATGACTAGCGCAAATAAATTAACGCTGTATTTTTTTTTTTAAAGAAAAACAAAGAGCATTGATAAAGTTGCCATAAATCTGTGGTCTTGTAATAAGAATTCTGGATAGTATGCAGAATTCTGCATTGAACCTTCTAAATTCATTTAACTAAGCTGCTGGGGCAACAGGGTTGTGACATAATTCAAAATTTTTCCTGTCACTGGAGGACCTGTCAATCATGCCTGGACTGACACCAGGTTTATTGCGACCTCATCCCAAAAACGGATCAACATCACTTAATTTTTCCTTCTTAGGATCTGAAAAGGCACCAAGCTCATCCTCCCCTGGAAAATTTTGAAGTACAGGTAAGTCCTCGATTTGCGACCACCACTGAGCCCAATGTTTCCCTTCCTAAGCAAGACAGTTGTTGATTATTATTTTTTTGCACCCA